AGGAGGGAAGGAAGCTGAGGATTCTTTGGAGTACAGATAGAGCAGAGCTTGGAGGGAGGGAGAGGTGCCACCCACAGGAGACAGTAGGGGCAATGGGGGAGGGTGACTAGCCTGTGGTGGATATTACAGGACGGCCTTGCTGGATATCTGGCTCTGGGGATGGCTGTGTGCCCATTAGTCTCTCTAATTGTCAAAAATCTAATTTAATGTCTGGAGCCAGGGCCAGCCTTGGGTTAAATGGAGGGAGGCGGGCCTAGCCATAAATCTGCCCTCCCAGCCTGGGTTGGTGCTAATTCTGCAGTTAAGTGAAGAGGTGAGGAGAGCTCTAGAGAGGGGGATGTCTTTGATGACCCTGTGTGCCAGACCCCATGTACTAGGACACAGTCAAGCCCTCCTTTCTGGCAGGAGGAAAGGGCTTGCTTGAAACCCTTCTGGGCCATCCAAGGGGAAATACCTTAAGTCTAAAGTAAGCTAAAGAAAATCTGAGTCTCTTGGGAGCTATGCATGTGAGACTGTGAAACCATCAGTCCCCAGGGACTAGGGAAGTGGCTCAGTGCTACAGTACTTGCCTAGCATGTGCAAGGCCCTAGGCTTAAGAATCCCATGGACATCCCTCCTCCCCTAAGTCATCAGCCTTTTCTCCTGAACCCGTGCAGGGTCTAGGTGGGCTCCACCCTCACAGTGGTTGGAAACAGTCTGTTCCTAATAGGAAAGTGGTATCTTACACAATATGAACCTTTGGTGAGGATAGTTATGTGACCAACTGACTGGTCATCTACTAGGTGACTACCTGGGATGGCCTCAGTCATGGGGACCATGTGATATTCACATCAGAGGCTCAAGAGTGAAGGGTCATCCTCACTTGGGCTGCTTGGCCTCTCCTTCCCTGGGAGAAGTGCTTAAGGACCTGGACAGCCACTCAGGACCTCCTGTGGCCTGAGGTAGTGGTGGGGGCACTGGACCTGGGCTTGGTAATGACCTCACTCCCCTCAGAGTTGCTAATTGAAAGCAAGGGGTGTGGTAGGCACAGCAGGGAAAGGTTGTGGGGACTAACAGGGCTTGGAGAGGCTCTGCTTCCATGGGGTGGGGGGAGGAAAACAGTTTCTCCTGGCTTCAACTCCATCTCACCAGGCACCCACCCGGCCTCTCCTGCTGCTAACAAAGTACCTTTAATTAGCAGCCTAATAAAATGCTCTTAATTGGCAAGAGCCAATCAGGAGGAAGTGAAGTCTCCCCTTAGTCATTGCTGATGGCTGCCCAGCCCTCAGTTTAAAGGGAAGAGGGACTCCAGGCTCAGCCTAGCATTAGGAAGGCTGTCTCCTGGGGCAGGCCCTTAGACCCTCACCTGGGGATGAGGTCTGACACTGGCTTGAAGGTCAGGCCCACAGCCTTAGGTTCCATCCTGTGCTCAGGAGTGGGCAGGCCAGGACCATCATCACGTAGCTGCTGGTGACCACAGAGAGAGCTTTGCTGACATCCCCTCCTTCCCTCCGGCTCTCTGAGGTGCTGCCTGTTAGAGAACAGATGTGTGATTGTGGGCGTTTTCTACCTGCACAAGGCTGGGTGACACTGACCACAGCCCAAGGCTGTCTTAGGAACCAGAGTAATCACCCAGGTAAGACAATGAGATCATGGGCTCAGGGAAGGAAGGAAACCTGGTTGGGGGAAGGGCTATAAACACTAAGAGCCTATAGGTCTTTTAGCCCAAGGATGAATCAATTCTGTGTCCTGCTTAGGACACCACAGAGGGGGCAGGAGGCGGCCATGGCCTTCCCCTTGTGCTTATGCCTTTATGTTGATGGGGGGGTGGCTAACTTGGGAGCAGCACTGTCACCCCTAAATGGCTTGAGTCTGGCAATGCTCCTGAAAGTGAGTGCACTTAAGTGATAGAGCAGACCAGCCTCCACCCACACAACAGCTGAGGAAAATGCATATTTCGGGCTCAGGTAGGATTGTGGTGGGCCATGATGACCACTTCACAAATCAGGTATCACTAGCTTCAATATGGCACAACAGGAAATAGGATTTGTATGCTAAGAACCCTGTGTTTCCTCACATCGCCAAACCCTGGATTTCCCCCGCCCCCTCTTTTTTGACAGGGTTTGCCATGTTGCTTAGTCTGGCCTAAAAACTGAAAATCCTCCTGCCTCACCCTGGCTTCCCAATCTGATTGCTAGGATTACAGCATGCACCACCACACCTAACTGGCCCTGGGTTTTCTGGAGTTGGTTTCCTCATGTTAAATCATCATAAAAGGCATTGAATCTACTGTGCACTTCTTTGATTTGTATTCTGAAAAACATAACTGTCCTTATGATGTTGGGTCAAAGAGAGAAGACACTTAAAAAATTAACTTCAATCTTATTGTAATTTACTTTTTTTTTTCTGAACAGTTAAAAAAACACCACACTCTGTTATGATCCTAGGCTGTGAACATATTGGTACATTGACTACACATCACCATAACATAATCACAAAAATCAAAGCAGTCAGCACTGAAGAACCTAAAGAACTAAGAGCCCAACCAACCAAAAGCTCTCGGAAGCTCACATGCTGCCAGGCCTGTTCCCACAGCCGGAGTCCAGTGTACCCTCAGCAAGTCTGCCTGGGTTATTTAAGGGCCACTGCTTTGGGAGGGTGTCAATTTCCTTGGTACTCAGAGGTCTAACCTCTTGGTTGTTTCCTTCGGTGTCCAAGGGGAAGGCTTAGGAGGGGAGTAACACTTTACACACATACAACACACACACACACACATACTCAGATGTGAAGACAGCCAATTGTTAGCTGGGAAGTCATCTGCCTCCAGATTTCCCATCACAGGTGCTGGACTTCTAGGATGAGGGGATCCAGACAGCAGTGCAGTTGACCTGCCTGCAATCAGGCAGCCATGGTCATGCTGCTTTGGTTTCTCTCCTCAGCCCTAAAGATTCTGACATCATAAATGAATTATAGCTTAAAGATAACCAGAAGCAAAGCTCAACTTTATTCCTGAGATGGCTGTCTTTCTGGAACTGTGTTGGCTGTGGCTAGAAGGGGCTCTGCACTGTCAGAGATCAGCTGTGTAGATGAGGCCTGGAGATTAACCCCATTCGAAATCTCTGGGTGCACTTGGAACTGATGAACTTAACCACATGAAGATGAAGATCAGCATGGACTAATGTTACACTGTGAATCTGATCACCACACAGTGAAAGTCACAGGGCTGGCTGTATGCGTGCCTCATCTTCTACCTAAAAGTACCCTGGAGTACATCAGAACAATCTTGGAAGCTGAGCCCACAGGCCTGCACTATTCTGGGTTGGACTGCTTCTACCTTGGCTGGACAGTTGTCACCATCTGAAGCAAAAGATAACGCTAAGGTCCACAGTTCCAAGGTAGCTAATCCAATTCTAGTTATTTTCAGTATTCTCCATGCTCACCCAGCCCACATAGTCAAGTGCTAAACAAGTAGTAGGCCAACTACTACTACTAATAGTACCAGCAGCCAGTGAGGGATGAGTATGTATTTCCTTCTCTGTAGCTTTAGTTTTTTTTTTTTTGTTTGTTTTTTCAATCTCTTTTCTTACAGAATAACTTAGTGGCCTCAATGTCATTTCTAGTTTCAAAACAAGTTATGAGGGCCAGACTTTATTACATGTCAACAGTGTCCAGTCTCTGTCTCTAATGTTAGGACAAAACAGGAAGAGTTTAGCCAAGGGACAAGTGTAAAAGGCCTCCCACCCACAATTCACATCCACTTTCAAACTACAC